ATCACGGTTTACACAACTTTACAAAATATGTTCTTTCTTAGAACCCTACTATACTGGTACAATAATTTAATGGAAAATCTCTTACTATAGACCATATCTCTTGCCCGGTCACGGCTTACACAACTTTACAAAATATGTTCTTTCTTAGAACCTTACTATACTGGTACAATAATTTAATGGAAAATCTCTTACTATAGACCATATCTCTTGCCCGATCACAGCTTACAACTTTACAAAATCTAATCTTTTTTAGAACTCTATCATACTGCTGGTACACTAACTGAATGGAAAATCTTGCCCGATCATGAAAATTTGATATTTCTTAAAACTTTACTATACTGGTATACTAAAACACACTTTCTAAAACCCTTTTTCTGCTCTTCCTCAACCTTCCGAAATACCATGGAGAGCATTTAAAGCCCCACTATAATAATTTAATAAAGTTTCATCAAACTTAACAGCTTACTTCATCTGTCTATCTTGTCTTTCGTCTCTTATTATCTCCGTCTCGTTCTCCGTTCCGAACATCCTCATCTGGATCCAGTCTCGAGTCTCCGTTCGTCGTTCGACTTATCTTTTTCTGGCTCTCGTTCTATGTCTCCACTCCTCGCCCAGACTATCTTCCTCTGGATCTCTCTCTCTATCTCTGTTCAGAATACAAGATGATGTATAGCGTCTCAGTTCGTGGGTTTAGTTTCGCTGTCTCTCTTGTACTCCAGGTATGTTAACCATCTTCTCCTCACCGCCCCTGTTGGGTAACACTCTCCGATAGTTATTTATTAAGACTTTGGTTTTACTTTTTATTTCAATATCGACAGTTCTTTCAGTTTCAAATAATTTCTGATTTATCTGATTTTTGTGATCAATGATATTGCACTGTTATTTCGATATCACTAATGTTATATAAATCTTATGACTCATTCTGACTGTTATATAAATTTTGTGACTCATCCTGACTCTGTATCTCCTTCCTGCCTATCCGCATTCTCCCGTTACTCGTCTATGTCTCCATTTATCAGCTCACGCCTCCGACTCGTCTGTGTCTCCATTTATCAGCTCTCTGTGTCTCCATTCATCAGCTCTCGTCTCCGACCACTCTGTGTCTCCATTTATCAGCTCTATGTGTCTCCATTTATCAGCTCTCGTCTCCGATCACTCTGTGTCTCCATTTATCAGCTCTCGTCTCCGACCACTCTGTGTCTGACTCGTCTGTGTCTCCATTTATCAGCTCTCTGTGTCTCCATTCATCAGCTCTCGTCTCCGACCACTCTGTGTCTCCATTTATCAGCTCTATGTGTCTCCATTTATCAGCTCTCGTCTCCGATCACTCTGTGTCTCCATTTATCAGCTCTCGTCTCCGACCACTCTGTGTCTCCATTTATCAGCTCTTGTCTCCGACCACTCTATGTCTCCATTTATCAGCTCTCTGTGTCTCCGTTTATCAGCTCTCGTCTCCGACCACTCTGTGTCTCCATTTATCAGCTCTCGTCTCCGACCACTCTGTGTCTCCATTTATCAGCCTTCGTCTCTGACCCCTCTGTGTCTCCATTTATCAGTACTTGTCTCCGATCGTATTGTGTCTCCCTTTATCAGTACTTGTCTCCGATCGCTCTGTGTCTCCATTCATCAGCTCTCGTCTCCGACCACTCTGTGTCTCCATTTATCAGTACTTGTCTCCGACCATACTGTGCCTCAACAAAATGATAAACTGATTACACATCACACCTCACCATATCTCTCCTTTGGTATCATCACCGTATCAATACTAGCCTCTGTGTCTAGAGAATCATGTGATTTTTTCTGCACTTGACACTCACTGAGACGCAATTGAATTGTTGTACCTTCTGGTTCTTTCCCCAAGTTCGAGACGTTGATGTCTTCCTTCCATTACAGAATTTTCTTTCCATCCAGGTCCAATTACACTTGCTCTCTGCCACACATCGTTGGTATGATCTGCTGACTTATACCTAATGACATCCTCACTCTTAAAGTCTAATACCTTATTCCTCTTGACTACAACCTCTACCCAGTCTTGATTCTCATCAGACGAAGAAGCACTCTGAAATTCATCAGGCTCACTTGTGTCTCTATTTTCATCACCGACACTTTCTGACTTCACTTGTTCACTACTGGTCTCTACATTACCAGATTCTTCTATTTAAGTTTCAGTTCCACTCGAAACTTCCACTCCTTCTGCTGATGGTTCATTGCTTACTTCCTCTGATTCATTCGGACAGAATTCATCTTCACTGTCACTATCACTATCAACAATCTCTTCTTTCCTTACACTCTCTTCCCTACCATTTTGTTCAATGGTATATTTCTCTGATCTCATATTTTCCCATAACCTGATATCTGCCACATAATGACCTGATTTGGTCACTTTCAGTTGTTGCCGTTCTCCGCCAATCATAATCTGATCATTCTCTATGTCTAATGATACCCCCAGTTGCTTCATGCTACATCTAGAAAACAAAAAGGGTAATTCTCCTGGAACCACAAATGTTTCTAACATGAAATCTCTGTTACACAACTTGACTGGTAACATGACACATTTGATAGATTCAACCGCGTGTCCGTCTCCAAAACCAAAACTCAAGTTTCTCTCGACTTCGCTGACCTTTTTCTTCAACTCTTCAGGCATTGACTCTAAGAATGTGTTCAACTAAACGTCACCACACACATAACTGGTTGTCCCAGTGTCAATCAACACCTTGTTCAATGTCTCATTGACTAACAGCACTGTCTCACAGTAGTCATTGTCAATTTTGTTTGATTCTTAACCCTTCCTGCACGACTGATACATACACACTGAGCCCGAATCCTTCTTTCGAACATCATTAACATTGGGATTATGTTGACAATCTGCCCGGAAATGCTTATTCGAATCACAAATTGAACATCTTGCTACATCGCCTGTTTTGTGACTGATAGCATTTAACTCATCTTTGTAGTCTGAGTTATTCCTTTCTTTTGAATTGAGCTGTTTGTCTCTTTCCCATGGTCTGCTGTCATTTCCAGATCTCCCTCTGCCATTGGAGTAATTGTTATAACCGCCAGAAGAGAACGATTTCCTTCCTCCTTGTCCTCAATTATTGTATCCTTGATAGAATGTATATTCTCCGTTATCACCACTGATGTCAGTATCCTTTTTCATCAAACTGACCCCTATGGTAATGCACATCCGATCCAGGTTCTACCTTAATCTTCACTGTGTCTAACTCCAGTCTGGATCTACGACAGAAAACAGCGTCACCGAAACACCTCTTCAAACCTTCCTCAATTGCTTTACTTGTCAACTCTTGAGTCCCCATTGCAGCTTTGATCAATATCTGTTGATCTTTGGTCAGGTTGGCCTGAGTTAACAACCTGTATGCCAACATACCATCATGATAAATTTCTTTCTTGTCATTAAACAACTCTCCGATCCGGTTCAATCGTCTCTTGAACTCAGCGCTATATTCTGTCATTTGCATTTGTTCCGGTCTAACAAACTTTTCTAGATCATCAATACCTAGAAATATACTCTGAGTATATATACATATACTCTAAGCGTGTTGCAAAATCTCTTGCCTTGAAATCCTGGATTCTCAAGACCCACACTGCAGCCTTCTTAGCAGCTGCTATCGAAGTTCCCAACTTCACGTATCCCCTTCAAGTAATCCATCCCCTCTGTCGACAAAGGCGGTTGGTCTCCTCCCATGTCTTATCAGTTATCAGTTCTTCTACCTGCTACCAATGATAAATTTCTTTCGTCCATAGCTTTCTGTACAAGAGGATCTTGCCCTCTTTGAAGACCTCCTTGGCCACCGTGTCCTTGCGTTCAATCCATTACAATATGACCCTGTCTCCCGCATCCATACCAAGTAGGGGTCTTTCTACATTCCTTTGCGAAATGTCCATGCTGTCCACAGGTGTAACCAGCACCGATGTCTCTTCTCGGCCGGTTCTCTTTCATTACTCGGTTTATCACTCCCTCATCCATCTCTATATCCTCCCCGATTTGGAACAAAAGTTCCTCCTCATTCTTCCCTGGTTTAGGGCTACGACTCGCCAGTATCCCATCCAACTTAACCGCCCTCTTTAGCGCGGCCTCAAAATCTTGCCCTCGTGACTTGATTAACTCGATCCCGATGGTCATCTAGCCTGATGGTCTTCTTGATCTCCTCCTCCTCCGGTGCATATGCCTCATCTGCCATGCCAGTGACTCTAGCTGCAAAATCCGAAATTGTCTCTTCCTCTTTCTGACGCATCTCAAGAAGTCTCTTCCTGCACCCGCCTTTGAATGCACATCACATAGCACCTCTGTCCTCCTCTCCAAACTCGCCTCTACATTTCTCTTCTCGTCCCGGGTTAATCGTAGGGTCTCCACTCTCCTCTGTGCCTAGGGGTCCAAGTACGTCATTATCATGTCCACCAAGTCTTCATCCAAGATGTCCGCAGCATTGGCAAATATTTTAAACCCGCTCAGGAAGGTTCTAAAGCTGTGTTTCCCCAGCACAAACATCCGAGGTTTCATTAATGGGTATTTCTTACCCGCTGCTCTGTTCGCTTCTCTGATTCTCCTCTTTTCGGTCTCCTTCTCCTGCCTAGCTTCTAGCTTACCCTCTCTGAATCCATCTCTTCTTAGCTGTGCTCCCTGCTGCCTCAATTCATCATATTGAGTCCTTAACTCTTCGTTTGCTAGCTCAGCCTCCTGCCGCGCTCTCATCATTACCTCATTAGCTATCTTTATCTCTGCCAATTCCTCTCTCGTTTGCTAGCTCAGCCTCCTGCCGCTCTCTCATCATTACCTCATTAGCTATCTTTATCTCTGCCAATTCCTCTCTCGTTTGCTAGCTCAGCCTCCTGCCGCGCTCTCATCATTACCTCATTAGCTATCTTTATCTCTGCCAATTCCTCTCTCGTTTGTTAGCTCAGCCTCCTGCCGCGCTCTCATCATTACCTCATTAGCTATCTTTATCTCTGCCAATTCCTCTCTCAGTGCCGCTTCCCTGACTCAAATTATTTGTTATATAGTAGTGTTGAAAGTATTAAAATACAATACAAACACTGTCTCTCTCTCTTCAACAGTTCCTCTCTCAGTGCCGCTTCCCTGACTCAAATTATTTGTTATATAGTAGTGTTGAAAGTATTAAAATAAAATACAAACACTGTCTCTCTCTCTTCAACAGTTCCTCTCTCAGTGCCGCTTCCCTGACTCAAATTATTTGTTATATAGTAGTGTTGAAAGTATTAAAATAAAATACAAACACTGTCTCTCTCTCTTCAACAGTTCCTCTCTCAGTGCCGCTTCCCTGACTCAAATTATTTGTTATATAGTAGTGTTGAAAGTATTAAAATAAAATACAAACACTGTCTCTCTCTCTTCAACAGTTCCTCTCTCAGTGCCGCTTCCCTGACTCAAATTATTTGTTATATAGTAGTGTTGAAAGTATTAAAATAAAATACAAACACTGTCTCTCTCTTCAATAATGTACTAATTAAAATACAACCACTGTCTCTCTCTTCAATAATGTACTAATTAAAATACAAACACTGTCTCTCTCTTCAACAATGTACTAATTAAAATACAAACGCTGTCTCTCTCTTCAACAATGTACTACTTACGATGCAAATATTATCCCGCTCTTTAACAGTGTACGAATTAAAATGTAATAATTAAAATACCAAGTGTACAGGTCAAATGTAATAATTAAAGCTCTCGCTTATCAGCTCTCTATTGCTCGGTTTTTACTCTAATTGATAAATCAGTGTCTCACACCGTCACTCCATAACATAATCTCAGTCAGTTCCTCATATTCAAATATTCGGACAGTCAATTCAACACTCTCTTCGCAGAAAAGTAGTCCTAGTTTCTTTCATCATAGAAAATACCATACCCTGGCACCCCTCAAATTTCAAAACCCCTTCAAAACGTTCCAAGTTTTCAAATTAATACACAGCTCTAATTCCCTACAAGTGACGTCACCACTCTCCGAATAACCTCCCTTCAACCTCCAATGCTACTAGCATCACCCGGGTCTTATTTATATAATATCTCTTCCTCTATCTCTTCCTCTATCTCTTTCTCTATCTCTTCCTCTATCTCTTCCTCTATCTCTTCCTCTATCTCTTCCTCTATCTCTTTCATGATATCACAATACGTAGCGCTACTAAAAGAAAACAAGTCTGACACACTACAGAACGGTTCAGCAGGCAGCCACTCCCACTGAGGCTCTGGTGGCTGAAAGTATGTCAAGTCTGCCGTCTTAAAACTTAAAATAAGACCCGGTTATCTCTGAATCAACTCATCAAACACTCTCTCGAACCAATCCCTCAACGGACGGACATATACTCCTCAAAATAACCCCTCCTAACCTGTGCCTCTCCGGTATCTACCCCCTGTCCCCTCCATGATGAAAGAAACCCCAAAAATACCATTTAAACTCTTACACTTCACCGAGCATTCCTTTACAGCTTTACTGCTCTTGCACTGCACTAGTCTAACAATGGTAACTGACAACACTGTATAATATTACGTTTACGTACATATTTACAAATACTCCTGACCTCTGTCCACTCACTCTCACACACTAAATAGTCTCCATTACCTTAATTAAAATACAAAACAAACTATCCTATAATAAAATAGGATCCTACCGTTCGCGCCATTTGTAAGCAGTGGACACTTGCTTCCCGGTTCGAAGTTTATTTGCATTTAATTAAGGGTTTGGACAATGGAAACGAGCGTGATAATAAAGGGTAAACAAAGTTAAACTATGAAACAATACAATGAATAATTCGACAACCTCTACTTCAAATCCTAATTAACCAGACTCGTATCGCCCATAAACGCCCAGCGATCTAGTGCTGCAACATAAAACACGGATAGCACGGTCAACTCGCCTTGACCGTGCCTAATCTAGGTGCCCTGAAACAACCACTGCCGATTCTAAACCTCTAACGACACGTTCCATCCGTGCTCACCAGGCCCCAACCATAACTGGTCCTGGTCCCTCACACTAGTCCGGTATCAACCATGACCCTCTATCGAATAGGGTGAGAATGCAAACAAGGGGTATAATAAAGGTGCCCAAGGTACTTAACTGAACAATGAATAATCGAATATTTGCTCAACCAACGCTTAGTCACTCAGACTCATATTGCCTCAAATACTATGCAACAAATTCCTAATTACTCCGATTCATACTGCCTCAAATATTACGCAACACACTTCCTGCCGTTAATCCTACCCTTAATCTAGCTTTACCTATCTGAGTCAACCATTGCTGTCTATTCCTCCCGGGCTCTTACTCTTAGTCTAGCCTTATCTGTCTGAGTCAACCATTGCTGACTCTCGCTCTGCCAGAGCCCAGTGTTGTCAAGACATCCCCTGGTGTCGGACCAACCATTGTTGACCCCGGCCACAACCAAGCCTGATAATAGTAACTACGTAATGCTCCACTATTCTACTACTATCCTAGTCTAGCTTTACCTATCTAAGTCAACCATTGCTGACTATTCCTCCCGGGCTCTTATTCTTAGTCTAGCTTTATCTGTCTAAGTCAACCAGTGCTGACTATTTCTCCCGGGCTCTTACTCTTAGTCTAGCTTTATCTATCTAAGTCAACCAGTGCTGACTATTCCTCCCGGGCTCTTATTCTTAGTCTAGCTTTATCTATCTAAGTCAACCAGTGCTGACTATTCCTCCCGGGCTCTTATTCTTAGTCTAGCTTTATCTATCTAAGTCAACCAGCGCTGACTATTTCTCCCGGGCTCTTACTCTTAGTCTAGCTTTACCTATCTGAGTCAACCATTGCTGACTCTCGCTCTGCCAGAGCCCAGTGTTGTCAAGACATCCCCTGGTGTCGGACCAACCATTGTTGACCCCGGCCACAACCAAGCCTGATAATAGTAACTACGTAATGCTCCACTATTCTACGGCCGCCAATATTATACTTACCACTATAGCCATCTACCTAACTAAACGACCTAACCTTAACAGGTTCTAGCTACAGAACCTGCCCGGTATCAAAATGACCCCCTCTCGATCGGGTAAACTGGCACTCCCGATCTCAAAAGGCTAATCGTATTTTCCTCTCGCCCCTGATAGTCTAAACAATCTACCATTTCCCGGGAATTGCAAACTGTCCTGTCGATAGCCACAACATAGTACCACTAGTATTCTGTAAACACTCCATAATTCAACCTTGTACTGACCCAAACATATGTTAAACTGACCTCTCTGCACTTAAACTGCAATAACTGTCGTATACTAATATATGCCCAAAATACTACCGTCACATACTGGACACCACGACCGCCTTATTATAATCACTACACTACCTAGATATTACACAATATTACCCTAAATTCATCTCAATTAATCACGGTTTACACCTCTTTATTCGGGAATATATTCAGTTTAAGGATGTGCTTCACTGAGTTCACTTTGTTTGATATGTTGAGTGGCAACAAGTAAGGTAAATCAAGGTGAGGTAAATCAAGGTTTGCAGTAAATCAGGGTTTTGTTAGTATACATTGTGCATGTTTTTGGGGGAAGGAAATGGCTGCGGTAAATCGGGGTTTGCAGTAAATTAAATGGGGGTGCGGTAAATCAGGGTTTTACTGTACATGCATGGGTTCATATGATATTATCATCTCTAAAACTTACAGCAAGTTCAAATTCAGAAATCTTCAGATTCTTCACAATATTATTTGAGTCTAGCATCAAACGAAAAATTAATTTTTCTATTAAAACGCCAGCGGCGGAGAGACGACAACATCGCCCTCCGTAATGTTTACCTCAGCTACAGGACGATCCCTGTTTGCTACACTCCTCATCAGCTTCGCCACCTTTAACATACGTGGCCTCGGTTCTTGTGATGATCCAGACGACATCCACAGCAAACGGGAGCAACTGGGTACCGATTGTCTACGGTACGGCATAGATATCTGCGCTATTCAGGAGACTAAGGTTGTAAAACCGGATTCTTGCAGTCTTAGCAACGGATACAAACTATTATTGTTTGAGCAGAAAAATGGCCGGCACTATGGACTCGGTTTTGTTATCAGTCCCCGATTTATTGACTATGTGGTATGCTGGAACAGTATCAGTGATCGAGTAAACTTTTTGGACCTAGAACTCCCTACAAAATCTGGAAAATTTATCAAATGTAGGGTGGTCAATGTATATGGGCCACACAAGAAACTTGCAGAAAATGATCAACAACTGTTGATTAATTTTTACGGCCAAGTTAGGGACGCTCTAAACGTCCCTGCTAATGTTGAGATATTTGTTTTGGGAGATTTTAATTCAAAGTTGGGAAAAATGACTGCTTCAGATAAGGACTTTGGTTTTGGTCGTTTCATGGGTAAACATGGTATGGGTTTGCGCAACAATATGGGAGAAAACTTGTTAGACTTGTTATCAGAATTTGACCTCTTTGCCTCCAACACTGGTTTTTATCATCCTGCTCGACATACGACCACCTACACTGGCTGGAGGAAGGACTGGAGTGCCGGGCGAAATAGTAAAAAGACGATCCCGGTCTATTCTCAGATCGATTTCATCCTGTGTCGAAGTAGGTCGAAGCCAATGCTACAAGATTCTAGATCTTATGCAGGCACCTTGACATACTCTGATCACAGATTTGTTGTCACTAGAGTAGACTTTAAGGACATCTGTCTTTGCTATAAACGCAACTCCAAGTCATCCTTAAAGTTCAACACCTCTGAACTCACCTCGAACCCCACCATTCAGGTGAAATATCGTCAATCCTTAGATGATAACTTAAGTAACACTGTTTCTGCTCTGGATCCAAATTCAGACTTGAATGGCTTACTTGAGTCCATAAAGGATGCTGCAAAATCGTCAATTGGTGTCATCAGACACAGGAAACGTAATCGCAGCGACGATGATGAGGTGAAAAACTTATCTAGCCAGCGTTACTTGTTGAGACAGCAGCTTAATGATAACCAGTCTTTAGACAGAACCTCACTTAGATCATCTATTAACTGCCTCACCAATCAGATCAAGCAGAGACTTTCTAACATACGATCAGCTGCTGCTGATGCTATCTGTAATACCATCAGTTCAACAACAGATAGTAAGAAAATGTTTGAAGCTGTTCGAACCCTGAACTTACCTAAAAGTAAAGCCCCTTCTAGTATTGGTGTTCATGATGAGCAAGGGTGCAATATTGCAACAGACACTGGTAAAGCTGCCGTAGTTGCTAAGTACCTTGAGCAACAACTTACTCGTGATGAAGCACCTTTAGAACCTTTTGTAGGACCTCCTCGCCCACTAGTTAAGCCTTTCACTAGTGAAGAAATCGGATCAGCTGCTAGAAGTCTCAAAAATGGTCGAG